CTTCAGTTCTCTCACCATCTACATTTGTTGCTGTTTAGTCGTGACCGACTCTTCGTGACCCCCTGGACCAGAGCACGCCAGGCACTCCTGTCTTCCACTGCCTCCCATGGTTTGGTCAGACTCATGCTGGTAGCTTCGAGAACACTGTCCAACCATCTCGTCCTCTGCCGTCCCCCTTCTCCTTGTGCCCTCCATCTTTCCCAACATCAGAGTCTTTTCCAGGGAGTCTTCTCTTCTCCTGAGGTGGCCAAAGTCTTGGAGCCTCAGCTTCAGGATCTGTCCTTCCAGTGAGCACTCAGGGCTGATTTCCTTCAGAATGGAGAGGTTTGATCTTCTTGCAGTCCATGGGACTCTCAAGAGTCTCCTCCAGCACCAGAATTCAAAAGCATCAATTATTCGGCGATCAGCCCTCTTTATGGTCCAGCTCTCACTTCCATACATCACTACTGGGAAAACCAGAGCTTTAACTAGACGGACCTTTGTCAGCAAGGTGATGTCTCTGCTTTTTACACCATCTACATAGGAAGCCACAAGTCAGACCTTTGGGTTCATCTAGTTCAGTACTGTCAACTGAAACTAGCTGACAGCAGTTCTCCAGAGTTTCAGGAACCAGAATTCCCCAGAACTACCTGGAAACTGAACCTGAGGACTTTTTCCACGTAAAGCATGTCCTCTACCAGTGAGCTACAGTCCTTTCCAATAACGCCAATGCACCTTCCATGGGCTCCTCTGCACTTTGCAGAAGATTCCACTACTTCTTCTCGGGCTTGTACTCCATCCACCTGGAGAACTGGCAGGGCTTGCCTTTGCTCTGCACAAATGCCAGAATTTGTCCCAAATAATCCACTGTGGCTGCGCCTTGTGGGAAAAGATCGGTCATGGTCAGGAGGTTGCAGCTCAGTGGCCGACCACCTGCTCTGCAGGTCCCAGGTTTAATCCCAGGCAGGGAAAAGAGCCTCACCTGAAACCCTTGAGAGTCACTGCCTGTCAGTGCAGACAGCACTGGGCTAGATGGACCGACCTGACTTGCAATAAGGTGGCCTCTTTTCTTCCTACACAAATGGGCTTTCATAAAATCTATTGTTCACCTTGCTACTGCATAACCCCTGATACAGCAAAGCTCCTTGCAGTTTTGGGTCTCCTCAGAGGTTTCAGTGGAAAAGACTATGGATAATAGGACAACAGCAGCAACCTTTCTTCTGAAAGAGGGTCTTTCCTGTAGGGTAACCTGCCACAGATCACAGTGGCCAGTGTGTCCCCACACCCTTGTCTTTTCGCATCTCTACCTTCTTGCCCAGCAAGCTGTGGGGTGATGGACAGACTGATGCTGCCACAAGCCTGAGCCAATCGCTTGCAGGCTGTGTTTGGAATTAGGCTGAGGACTGCAGGTTGACCCAACCCTGCATTGCAAGTGAATGCTAAAAACTACTGCACCAGCTGATTCAAGTCCTTAGGACACAATATTCCATTGTCTATTCCAGCACATCAGCACAAAAGAGCAAAATAGGTGCTGGAGGCCTGTTCCAGCAGTGCTGTGGGGCAGATATGCGATGGCAAATGTTCAGGAGAGGGGAAATTGTTTCCCAGAGCTGGAAAGAGATGCTGATGTTTGCAAAAGCTACACGGATAACTTCCAGAAGCCGGAGCAGGGATAGAACAGCACAGCAGAACTCTTCAGTTTTCTGAAGTGATTATCTGGAAAAAAAACACGAACTGGCTTCCTGCACTTAGTGATTTATTAAAATATACGGATACACACAAGATTGCTAAGTGAATGTTGCACAATATATACTTATGCGTAAGCAGTAACAGGGGATGTTTGTTTTTTAAAAAGCAGTCTCCAGGCAAGATTTTGCCAGGCCTTCTATAATCTGGTGGGTGATGTTAGTTTAGTTACTTTTGCATCGATGCTATAATTTGTATCCAAGTATGGTGAAGGTCACCATTCACAGGAAATGTTAACTGTTATTATATTCTGGAATTTAGTGAAAAATCAACATAGCCAAGTCAATTAACCCCATGCTACTCCTTAGCTTCTGATCAAAGAAGCTTTGCGAAGCAACACTCCCCCATTGTACAGGTGAGCACATCATTTTTAGCTACTTAATGCAGCAAGGCTCTTCGGAATGTTTTAAAAGCAGATTTCATAAAAGCAGTATTATGGCTTTGGTGAGATTGGACATCTAATTTTAGGCATGTGCGTCTCTGAACATAATTGACCAGGAACATGACTCAGTTCAACATTCCTAGGAGATGATTTACTAGCGGAAAAATAACACCTGAAATTCTGTTAAGCCTGGGTTTGCCTAAATATTAAACTATGGGAAGCCAAGTACTTCACAAAAAGCAGGACAGTTCATTATTTTGTCTGAGCAGATCCATGCAGAAAAACAGCACTATGCAGAAACGAAATAAAGTCCAACCATAAACAGCTACTAGCAGCTGTTTTGCGAGTGCTGTAGTGGCTTTTCCCAGCCATTTCCCCTTACAAATATTTACTTGTTCCACAAGTTAGCAGGTAACCCATGACAGCTTTGGTGGAAACCCATTTATTATAACACAAATAAGGTTTACTCAGCACACAGCTGAGTACATGGGAGGCAAACACTCCCAAAACTCATGCAACAAAAAGGGGCTGCCACAGAAGCCATGATCTACACTGGAAGATAAAAAGCAGTAATGTATTGAAGAGAGGTAAGACCACAGCCCAGCTTCGACTGACCAGCTAAACCAGGTGAGGGTCTCTCAAACCCTCAGTTAGGGACTTCCCTTGCATGTGAAGACAGGCAGATTGAGTGGATGAGACCAAGAGTGGGTCCCACAGTCAAGAAGGCAGTTTCTGCACACGCTATAGGGGAAATGTGGGGCAGATGGGGCTCATCAACCTGGGAAGGGAGGCCACCTAGGAGAAGGAAAACTCTGAACCTAAATCTCTGCTGCCTTGCAGCTATACCCATTCCTGAGAAAGGCTATGGGAGCAAACCCAGAGGAAAAACCCATACCAGCTGCCCTATGGGACATCTTTGGGAGAAGAAAAGGCTAAGGAGTCAACTCTACACAAATCCAGAGTGGAGTCCCTAAGATGGTTGGATGGTGCCTTGTAGGCCTCCTTCCAGCAACTCCTGCTGCCAAGCTGGTGCCAAATGGCCTGCTCTTCTTTGGACCTCATCAGTGCGGCCGAGAGGTGGGTCGTTGTGTGGGAAGCCCAGGACCTTCAGGCACACTGCCCAGGCTTGAATTCCAGAGAGGTCACTTTCGTGCTGTTAAAGCAGCAAAAACAACGCAGGAGGCAGCAGTTAGGAGCTACCAGTCTCTGCAGCCACAGCAGGCGCTGTGATTCTCCAGTAGTTTGATTTCACCCCTGGAGGTGCACTGCATTGTCTCTCAAGACAGACAGATGCCAACAAAAAAAAGGGGGGAAAAGAAACAGAGGCATGGTGGATGTTCATAATTTGCAAAAACAGTAAAAAGAAACCCTTGTTTTCTGACCTGCTTATGGGCTACTTGGCAGCATGTGGAACCAGATTCTTTGGTCTGTTCCAAGCAGGGCCCTTATGTTCTTTTTTGAGGGGAAAAGTTGACATTCGATACTTTTGCACTCTCCTCCTCCCTCACAAAGGTTTTCTGCACTAAGGCACATGTCAGCAGCAGCTGTTTTGCCTTACTGAAGGTGTGAAATCATTTTCTCATTGATTTCCTCATTTTCTCCCCAAAACAGACTAGGTTAATTTTAGACTCTATTAATAAGTGCTGAAAACCACGCAAACGTCGGCACTGAGGTGAAAAGTTAGCAGCAAAAAATATGCCAACACCAGGATAGGCCCAGGCACTGAGATGCAACACACACACACAGAGAAAGGCTGCAGGATTTCAGAGAGGACGACACATGTGAAGCATGATTGAGGATCAGTAAAAAGAGAACTGTCACTGGCAAGACACAGACTCAACTCAGATAAATGTTAGGTGGTAAAGCATGGGGAAGTTTTTTTTTTTTTAAAAAAAATTTCCTTTCCAGTAGCAATTGTAGCCAAGTAAGATTGTCTTCCATAGACACAGTTTTAACAATCAATCTGTAAGTGACTGTGGAGGCCAATTCTGGATCCACATCCACACGTCTTTCCAAAGCGGGGACATAGGTTTCCGGGCGGGAGTTGATCACGGTGTGGATTTGCCAAGCGTGCCTTCCTCCTAGCACGTTTCTCCCTTGCGTCCTGAGTTCGAGTGTCTTCAAAGCCCATGACACCTTTGGTGAAGGCTGTTCTCCAACTGGAGCGCTCGCAGGCCAGTGTTTCCCAGTTGTCGGTGTTTATACTACATTTTAAAAGATTTGCCTAGAGGAGTGAGTCTTTAAACCTCTTTTGTTGACCACCAGCATTACACTTTTAAGTTTGGAATAGAGTAGTTGCTTTGGAAGACGATCATCAGGCATCCGCACAACATGACCAGTCCAAGGAAGTTGATGTTGAAGAATCATCGCTTCAACACTGGTGATCTTTGCTTCTTTCAGTACACTGGCATTCATTCACCTGTCTTCCCAAGGGATGTGTAAAATTTTCCAGAGACACCATTGATGGAATCTTTCGAGGAGTTGGAGATGGAGGAGTTGTCAAAACTACCTGGGAGTTAACATCACTGACGTAATTAGAGTCCTCCCCTCGGCTGCTTTAATTACTGCAGCCCATTCAGCCAAGAAACCTGGCAGCATCAGTTCTTGTTTTTGCCAACAGGTGTCTTGAATCAGTGACCATACCCTTAACACAACACTGCCCGGTTGGGGGTGGGGGCTATTTCCTCTCCTCACAGCCTCATGTTTATTCTGCATTTTATCAATCTAAAACAGATTTTAGGAACCCTTTTGCATGTTCTAAGCTGCTGCACACACAACGAGAAAACTGCTAAAAAAAAAAGTACCGCTGGTGCAAGACGATCCACTAGCTGCTGCAATCTGAGCCACTGCCCTAAACCATCAGAGATAAGGCTGGAGTGAACATTCCTCTCACCTCGGCTTTGCGGATGTTCTCTCTGGTTTCGTCTATCTTCTGTTCCAGTTCTGCTCGGCTCTGCTCAGACACCACAGACCCGTGGCATTCTAATTCTTCCAGAGTCTGCCAAAAACAGGAAGGGGAGGGGGAAAAAACATTTGGTGTGTTTTTAATTGAACTGTTGTTTCTGGAAGGGATATGAAGCGTCGCTTCAAACCTCGCGCAGAAGCTCTTCCTTTGCAAGGCTTTAACAGGCGGACAGCCACCCTGATTTACAAATGGGAAGAAGAGAATTCTTTGCTGCTCTCCCTTATGCAGTTTGATTTACTTTCCTTTGTATAAAACGAGCCCAAAGGAGGCCCCCAACCCGCTCACAGGTCCTTGTGTGATCAGTGGAAACAGTTGGCTCTGGCAAATATCAACCGCTCTCAATTCCATCCTGATAATTGCCACCTGCCCAGATTTTAACTTGTCTGAATTAATTTTAAGAGGTATTTTAATTAACTGGTGTCTGTTTTTATGCATACAGTGGTGCCTCGCAAGACGAAATTAATTCGTTCCGCGAGTTTTGTCGTCTTGCGATTTTTTTCGTCTTGTGAAGCACGGTGTCGGGAAAGTTTTGGAAAAGCTTCAAAAATCACCAAAGTCTTCAAAAACCTCAAAAAAAGGCTACCACACCGCGTTCTATGAGTTGCTCCTCGAAGTCAAGTCGCAACTGTATTAACGGTGTTAAGAAAAAGGAAACAAACTTGCAAGACGTTTCCGTCTTGCGAAGCAAGCCCATAGGGAAAATCGTCTTGCGAAGCAGCTCAAAAAACCCTTTCGTCTAGCGAGTTTTTTGTCTTGCGAGGCATTCGTCTTGCGAGGTACCACTGTATTGTGTTGTTATGATGTTAGCCGCTGTGAGCCTGGCCTTGGCCGGGGAGGGTGGGATACAAATAAATAATAATAATAATAATAATAATAATAATAATAATTAACCAGACACGTATCCCTTAATGCTGCTCACTTTACACATTCGCATTTGAACCCAGATCTAGGTCCACACATCTCATGGTTCCTTAAGACAGCGGTGCCTTTGCCCCTGCTGAACCAAACAGAGCTTGTATTTTATGCAAACCACAACTCACAGCACAAACAACTAAAAGAGCCGGAGCTTGCTCTGATTTCGAATGCTGTAAGGGTGGACGTTCCAAGCCACGCACTTTTTCTACCCTGACTGGTGTCTTTCCAAGAGATCAGGAGGGAAAGAAAGGAAGAAACTTGGAAACTGTCTCACTCAGCTGGCTTTGTTTATAAATTTAAACAGCAATGTCACAGAGTACCAAGATTTTCCCTGCCCACCCCCCTTGGGGAGAAGAGGGAGGAAAGGAGAATGAAGGATATAACCCTTTGATCTGGACATTTCCACTCAAATACAATTGCTTAGATATGGGCAGTGTCTCTGCTTGCTTCTCAAACAAAATGCAAGCAAAAATTGACAAAAGTGCAGCCTTAAATGTAGGAAAAGAGGTGTGGTTCCAGTACCATGAATATATAAAAATAGATGTCTGCAAATGTAAACGATTTATGGAAAGAGTGCAGGAGAGCACCTGGGTCAATTATTTGCGATGTGAATTGCTCTCTTATTGTTGGTGGCGTACGAGGTCTTTGAGTGAGCAGTATGCAAGCCGTTAAAATAAATTTTGTAAAATAAATAAGGATTATTTTAAATGACAGACTTGTAAGGTAAGGACAACTGAAGGAAGACATAGAAGATGACAATACATTGAGGGAAGTATTTATTTGTTTCCAATTCTATGTCTTCTCAGGTACAAGCTTTTACCCATGTTGTCTTGCTTACATAAAAACCAAACCTTGTAGGCTTGTTTTTAAAACAAATGTGTGTGTAACGGCACACACAAGAGTCCGAATAGGATTGAGATTTATACCAGTATAAAACTACTGCTTTGCATATTTAGAGAACTACCTTTTTTTCTCAGCAGTGCATACAGGTAGTGCCATGTAATGTTTCCTGAAGCTACTTGGAAGCGACACAAATTAGGGGATTGAAAAATCAAAAGGAGAACCATCTCTCATAATCCTAAATGTCATATAGGCCTTCCTGGTGCGAACTGACAAGGACATAGATTTGCAAATGAACCAGAGACCTCTTAATTTGGACTGCTTTTAAAAACGAAACATCTTGGCAAGGTAACGTTGCAGCGTAGTGTGGCGGCACACAACTAATAAACAAAAGAGACAACTCTGGCAAAGGCAAGCCCTTTTAAAACATGGCCAACATGACTGAGAGTAATTATCATGTGTTAATTATCACACATCCCAGTTAAAGCACTTTGAAGAACAAGGTGATCTACTGGGACAATGTGGAACAAATAACTCAGTGCAAACAAGGCCAAAGCCAGAGTTACGTGGGTTGCCATTAGGATGGAATATATACCGTATTTTTCGCTCTAAAGGACGCACTTTTTCCCCTCCAAAAATTAAGGGGAAATGTGTGTGTATCCTATGGAGCGAATGGAGGCTCCTTGGCTTCAGCGATAGCAACGCGAAGCCTCTGAAACACAGAGGGAGCACTCCCTCCGCGCTCCGGAGGCTTTGCGTTGCTTTTGTTGAAGCCTGGACAGCGAGAGGCGTCGGTGCGCACCGACCCCTCTCATTCTCCAGGCTTCAGGGATAGCCACCTGAAGCCTTCGGAGTGCAGTGCGAGTTCCTGCTGCGTTCTGGAGGCTTCAGGTTCCTTTTGCTGAAGACAGGAGAGTCTTGCTCTCCTGGCTTCAGCGAAAGGAACCCGAAGCCTGAGGAGCGCAGCGGGAACTCGCGCTGCGCTCGGAAGGCTTCAGGGATAGCCGCGCGCAGCCCCTCCGGCAAGGAGAGGCTGCACGCGGCTATGGCTTCTTTAGCCCCGCACAGCCTCTCCCGGCTGGAGAGGTTGCGCGCAGCTACAGAGGAAGCCAAGACAGCGAGCGGGATCCATCCCACTCGCTGTCTTGGCTTGTGCCATAGCCGTGCGCAACCCCTCCGGCAGGGAGAGGTTGCGCGCGGCTAAAGAGGAGCTCTGGGAGAAGCGGACAGGCTGCGCATAAGATCCCCCCCCCCGATTTCCCCCTCTAAAAACTAGGTGCGCCCTATGGTCCGGTGCGCCTTATTGAGCGAAAAATACGGTATACCAAGGAAGCTGTTTCCTTTCCTCATGGAATGACAGATGCTGTGAAATGGAACATGAGAGGTGTAATCCTTCACAAAGGTGGCTGGATGAACAGGACAGGTAAGAAGCCGCCAATAATCTCATTTGTTTTCAACCCACCCGTTGAGTGTGAATAATGTTTTTGTGCTCTCTCGCCACACGCGTGGCCCATTTTCGGGCTTCCTTGTTCAGACTGTGCTCTTCTGTCGTTCCGGTCTCAGATTCCAGTTGTCTACTCTGAAACACACACATACAAGAAAGGAAAGTGAGTGAGGGGATTTACCAGGCCTGGCCTTCCCACCTGAGACATCCTCGTTTATGTAGCCATCTGAAAAATGTTATTTAACTCACTTGCAAGACTTCGCAAAAGGGCTTTTCCCAGATTCTTGTTATATGAAGGTGAACATAACAAGCAAATTTCAAACACAGAAAAAGCCCTGCCGTCTGTCCATGAGTTTTGTCATGGGGGAAATGAAAAAACTGTAACCAGTGTAATTTGCTCTTTAATGCTTTTCAAAAGCAAGATCGGGTTGTTTTCTTTCTTTTTTTTAAAAAAGAGGCTGCTGTAAAGTGAAAATGAATTATCTTTAATACGATAAATTTCTGAAGCAGAGGAACCAAACAAAGAGCAGACAAAATGCCTCAGGCAAAGAGGGAATTTGGGGGCTGAGATCTAACTGAGATCTAAACTTTATTCTGCATTGCGTTTCCCAATGTTTCATAAGCTTTCACGAGATTGGTGAACACATGAACAAAAAATGATTTCACAAAGACCCTGAATACTTACCAAACTAGCCCATGCATTTAATCGAGGCAAAAGCAAGGTATTGATCCGCACTCCCACCCCAGAAATTACCAGCAGCTGACAAGCGCATGCAATGCTTTATTTGCACCATTACAGGACGGTTCTCGCATCACAGGCAACGGTCCTATGATGGGACAACCCCGTTTTGCAAAAGCTGACAGCAGGGGTGTTTGGGGTGGGCTGGATGATCAAGGGGTATGCATTCAACCCTGAGCTCCTGCACGTCCCCAAATGGAAAAGGTCTCCGTCATTCAAAGATCCATATAAAGTACAAGCGGTCCAGAAGTTGGGGGTGAGGGGAGGCAATCCTCTCCACTGTAACAGTTGCTGGCTTCCTCCCTTCTCTTTCATCAGAGCATCTTGCAGAGATGCAAAAAAAGAAAAGGGGAAAAAAGGCGTTCTTCTAAAGCAGAAAGATTGCGCCCATTACCTCCTTCCCTGTGAGTAGGGACTTTTACGTCTATTGGGGGGAAATCCAAGAGCTATCCACTTTAATTCTTCAAACTACACTTATGAATGGCACTAGTCTCCTCTTTAAAGGTTCTATAAGAAATCCCCTAACTCTCCCCTAAGCAACGGTTGTTGTCGGATGATGCCCTCCCACAAGGTGCCCCAGTAGCAGGAAGCTGGGGAGCAGACATTTCCCACACTTATCCACCCCACCAGTGGATCTCTCTCCCCCCCCCCCACTCCTGGCCAGGGAGGCTTGCTTTTTATATTTCCAGTACCAGGCAGATATTTTTATTCCTTAAAAAAAAAAAAAGGTCTCGGAACTAAATTGATAGAATCATAGGATTGCAGAGTTGGAGGGGGGGGGTCATCTAGTACAACCCCTGCAATGAAGGAATCCTGCCCACAGCCATCCCTGGGTAGGCTTGAACCACCACCCTTCTGGTTAACAGCCAGACACACGGACCCATTGCATCACTGGGGTAGTATGGGTATTTCTGGTGGCTTTCAACTGGTGTCCCTGTTGTCCCACTAATTAATTTTTCTTAATGTTTTATACGTGTTGTCTTTGTCCATGGATCGCCAAAGAATGGATGCTTTTGAATTATGGTGCTGGAGGAGACTCTTGAGAGTCCCATGGACTGCAAGAAGATCAAACCTCTCCATTCTGAAGGAAATCAGCCCTGAGTGCTCACTGGTAGGACAGAACCTGAAGCTGAGGCTCCAAGACTTTGGCCCCCTCATGAGAAGAGAAGACTCCCTGGGAAAGACCCTGATGATGGGAAAGATGGAGGGCAGAAGGAGAAGGGGACGACAGAGGACGAGATGGTGGGACAGTGTTCTTGAAGCTACCAGCATGAGTTTGACCAAACTGCGGGAGGCAGTGGAAGACAGGGGTGCCTGGCGTGCTCTGGTCCATGGGGTCACAAAGAGTCGGACACGACTAAACAACAACGTTTTATACCAGCGCTGGGGAAACCTCAGGCCTGGGGTCAAATCCAGCCCTCCAAGCCTCTCCCCAAAGGCTGCAGTCTGCACTTGCCCTGCTTCACACCTTCATGAATTTGTTTGCTACGCTACAATACATCCTTAAATTCTGATTAGCCCTTTGGCCCTAACTACTACCAACAGATCAACACCCTCCCAGGAAGGAAGGTGGCCCTGGGTTGAAAAAGCTTCTTCCTCTGTTGTGTACATTTAATTATAGAAACTGTCTTTTATCCTATGATGAAATCTGGTAGATGAAGCCATGAATAAACAGACTCGCCGACCATCTTGAATATGTGCTCCCGCTTTGCTGTGCAACAAACACCCTCGTTTGGGGGGGGGGGCGAAATCTGTGCAACTGACAGGTTTCTTTTCTGCCACCTAGACCTGGGAATTAAGAGATGGGGCACATCCCAATTCCTGATAAGCGACAAGTAATCATCGCTTTAAACTGTTAAATGTGCCAAGTGATCTTAATGGTTTTATGTGCTTTTAAATGTACGCAGGGTGGGGACGAAAGGTGGACAAACTACTCCGGAGGAAGCACGACGTGTCCCCCACCAGAGGTATTAAAGGTAAAGGGACCCCTGACCGTTAGGTCCAGTCACGGATGACTCTGGGGTTGTGGCGCTCATCTCGCTTTATTGGCCGAGGAAGCCGGCGTACAGCTTCCGGGTCATGTGGCCAGCATGACTAAGCCGCTTCTGGCAAACCAGAGCAGCACACAGAAACGCCGTTTACCTTCCCACCGGAGCGGTACCTATTTATCTACTTGCACTTTGACGTGCTTTCGAACTGCTAGGCTGGCAGGAGCAGGGACCGAGCAACGGGAGCTCACCCCATTGTGGGGATTCGAACCACCGACCTTATGATCGGCAAGTCCTAGGCTCTGTGGTTTAACCCACAACGCTACCCGCGTCCCTTAAATACCCAGAGGTATTACCCCTCCCCTAATACCCCACAAACATCAGCGAGCCCAAGAAGGGGGGGGGGTTATTGTCTGGGCAGCCCAGGACCTCCATACACACTGCCCTGGTTTGTGTCCCAGGGTGTTGCTATCACAACAGTTTGGCTTCACCTCTGGAGGCACACTCTTAAGACAGATGGATGCCGACAAGGGTTTGCGCCACTTTTGAGTGTCAGCTGCCAAAGAAAATACGGCTTGTCTCTGAAATAAAATAGAAATCATGCTAATACATTTCCTGAAGGGTAGCTGCGCTGGTTGTTTCTGCTGGAAGAGACTGTCTTGAGGTGCCATAATGCCAACACATCGGTTCGTCCTGAACAGCGCCGTAAGACTCTTGGGTTATTTGAAGTGTCCCACCAAGAAAATTGCATGATTTGCTCATCAATCCCATTATTCTGTAAGATTATAGCTTTTGCTGGACCATTTATTTCAACCAACCAATCGCACGTCTTGTGCCCCATGAGGAAAACTTCTCCAACTCCAGGGAAAACATTGGTGGGTATGGCCTAATCTGGTATGCTGTGCCAGCTCACTTGCTAGCAACAACATGTTTCTGCCTCGAAACACAGGACACATAATGGTCTATTGCATTGTTATTCGGCTGTGGCCTGCTTGACATAAAAATTCCAACAGTTCTTGAAATGACCCTCTTTTTTTTTTGCATGGGCTACAAGCTCATATAGGCTCCAGCCATGCTAACTGAATTCCAGCAGGAATGTGTATTTGCTGAGATGGTGCCAATGTTTATTACAGGATCTTAGTTCCAACTCCATCCAGGAGGAAGAAAACAAACCCACCCCCATTCTGGCCTGAAAGGACAAACAACAGTCCAAAAAGCGGAGCTAATTATAGATTCACTTTCTGCCTTGAGACTTGCAGCGAAAGCGCCCTGAAAAACCCTTCAGCCTTTGAAAGCAAAAGAGAGCACTAACGTACACAAAATGGCACAAAATCAGCCGTCCTGTGGCACAACCATCTAGCCAGATGAACCCTACCTGAAAAGAGTGTAACTCCTAAGAAGTGGTAGAATAACTCTTTCAAAAAAGGAGGCAGGAGAATCGACAGGCGTCATGAGATAGGAAGTGATGCCAAAAACGGCATAGTTTGCTCAAACAGCGACCAGGGAAGCCAGAAATTGTGCCTGGAGCACTAAAGTAGAATCTAAACTGGGGACCACAACATTATAACGTAACGTGAGATACTGTTTAGGGATCCCAGATATGAACATTATCTTCAGCCAAAGACCAGCTTGGCTGCTTGACAAAACTGTTGGAAAATTCCATTCCACCTTAAGGAGCAGACATGGGATTGTTACGTGTCACATGTCTGTTTAGATTCCAGCACAGTTTGCTGGGAACTTCCGTTGGGTGTATAGCTTTTGCTTTTGACTCCCTTGCTGAGAAGACAAAGAGAGAGATGACATGTTTCTTTGTCCTGATTTATGATTAATAAATCCGTAGTTGTAGTATGTGTCCACAAGCCTCACGCCTATTCTGTGTGCAGTTTGCTCTGCTAATATAGTGTGCCCCGGCTTTGAAGCCTGGGTCGCTGATTTACGTCGGAGCAGAGGCCGATGGGTCTTCACACCGGGACTGCTGGAAGGAGACAACGCAGCTGGGACTAGCCAGCTGGCCTCTGGACCCTCTGCATGGTGACAACAACTACCAGCCAGGTTAGTAACTAACATACTGATTCTCAAACAGATTAAATCAAAGAACTACAGGCAATTGTGTAGAACTTACAAATAGTAACTGGGCCTTTGTCAGGGTTGCATAATGAAACGCTCCTCAATAATAATAAAGCTGCCAATATTACAATTTATAATCGATGGTACATTTGGGTATAGTTCTGGTCGTCTCATCTCAAAAAGGATATTGCGAAGTTGTAAAAAGCTCAGAAAAGGGCCACCAAAATGATGGTGGTCTTTGTTGGGAATCTGAATACGTGCAGCTACTCACACAGAGTCAATTAGGGTTTGGCAGACAGCCAAGGCAATGTGGAGGAGTACCGTATTTTTCGCTCTATAAC